GAGTCTTCTCCAGCACCATAATTCAAAAGGATCTATTCTTCGGCGCTCAGCCTTCCTTATGGTCCAGCTCTCGCAGCCATACATTACTACCGGGAATACCATTGCTTTGACCATATGGACTTTTGTTGGCATGGTGATGTCTCTACTTTTTATTACGCTGTCTAGGTTTGCCATCACTTTCCTTCCAAGGAGCAGGCGTCTTTTAATTTCATGGCTGTAAGTCACCATCTGCAGTGATTTCCACCCCCCGCCCAATAATGAGAAGTTGGGCTGTTATTCATCACTGTGACCTGCCTGTTAAAGGCTACTCTTGTTCACAAAGAGACTGAGCTCACAAACTGAAGACTACCAACTTAATACATAAGAATATCTTTAAAATTTATTTGACTAATTGTGTTACATTCAATATTTGATGTGTTTCTTCTGGACAAAGAGTTGGCATAAATACAAACAAGCCTTTGTGCCTTCCCTAAACAAGAGATAAAGTACTGGAGACAGGGGAACATAGCTTCCATCTTTGTATTTACAGTCTGCCTTTACAACTTAGTGCTAGGAATATTTACAGAAAGTACAATAAGAACAAAAAGATCATGTCTTGGCAACATACAGAACTTTATACACAATTGTACATGATTTTAAGCACATGGCATCTCGTCATCTCCTTCCAAGCCACTCCCTGCAAGGACCCAAGTTACTCTTCAAGTGACAATTTCTTGCCATTGCAAAACCCATCACTGAGCTATACCTGTATTTTTTGTACACTGTTCATCCGGAATTAGAGTCCTATAATCCTCCTGGGCTATATATTCTGAACACTGTATGTGAATTGCATAAACCCCCCCCCCCCAAACGGGGGGAGGGGCCAACAGAAATGGGGCACCCAAATCCACCCCCCCCCAAAGCTGGGAAGTGACTACAGATAATGGGCAGCCCAATCCTCAAGGCACTGCTGTTAGTACACGGCCCATGGAAGTCAATGGGGTTGTGTTGAGGACTGGAAGCAAGCTTTGTTTCCTACTGTTGGCTTTACAACGGTTCTGCATTCAAAACAGGTGCTCCCCTCCCCCAGACATGATTCCCCTCATCTCTCCTCCTGTTTGATTTTTGCTTTGCATTTAAAAT